TCATCAATCAATATCAAATATTACAATTTTCGGATTTCTTTTTCAAAAGCATTTTCTGAAAATGAAAAAAAAACGATATATTTATACGATTAATACAGTAGATTTCTATACTCAATAGTCTAACGGTAGATATTTTGAATTATGTTTCATCAGATTAGAATCGAAAAAACCCAATCAAATAATGAACACATACACACACAGACACATACTAGAATTGCGGAAAAGATTTCACTATATAGCGGAATAAAGATAAGAATATGAATTTCATTATAGGGATGAGTTGTTTTTACCGCAGAAGAGGAACAAAAGAGAATTTTTTGATTTTTCGAAAAAGAGAAAAAAAAGAAGGCTTAATTGTAACCTTCACATTGTCCAAGCAGAAAATATATTTGATCCTCAAGGTGATAAAATAGTTAATAGAAATAACTATTGTTTGAATGAAGGAGAAGAAGAAGAAGCTTCTCACGGTATCATGCGTGATACTTAATTTCCATTATAAAGAGTAATTATTAAAATTATAAGGGGAAAATTTTCAAGTCAGATATTATATTATCTATAAAAATCGCAAAGTCTAATTTTTCCACTTTATCGAAATTGTTATAATATCAAACTTCTATCAATTCCGATTTTATTCGAGAATATACTTTATAATATACATTATAATAATCGTAAGTTCCTTTACGTTAGCAAATTATCTGCATTCATTTGTTTGTTTTGAAAATTAAATTTTGTGGGTTAAGTATTGGCATTTTTCATTTTTTAATGTCAAACTTTTTAATGTGGAACATACTTTACTTATTAAATTGTCTCGACTCTTTGGTAAAAAATCTAAAATTATCAAAAATTCGAAAAAATTAAAAAATCCGAATTTCTTAAAATTCAACATTTTTTCTTCTCTTTTATGGGATTAAGCTTTATTATTTTTGTGCTTTTGGAAAATACTTTACTTATTTAATAGTCTCGACTCTTTGGTAAAAAATCTAAAATTATCAAAAATTCGAAAAAATTCAAAAATCCGATTTTCTTCAAATTCAACATTTTTTCTTCTCTTTTATGGGATTAAGCTTCATTATTTTTGTGCTTTTGGAAAATACTTTACTTATTTAATAGTCTCGACTCTTTGGTAAAAAATCTAAAATTATCAAAAATTCAAAAAAATTCAAAAATCCGATTTTCTTAAAATTCAACATTTTTTCCTCTCTTTTATGGGATTTAGCTTTATTATTTTTGTGCTTTTGGAAAATACTTTACTTATTTAAAAGTCTCGACTCTTTGGTAAAAAATCTAAAATTATCAAAAATTCGAAAAAATTCAAAAATCCGATTTTCTTAAAATTCAACATTTTTTCTTCTCTTTTATGGGATTTAGCTTCATTATTTTTGTGCTTTGGGAAAATACTTTACTTATTAAATTGTCTCGACTCTTTGGTAAAAAATTTAAATTATCAAAAATTCGAAAAAATTCAAAAATTCGATTTTCTTAAAATTCAACATTTTTTCTTCTCTTTTATGGGATTAAGCTTCATTATTTTTGTGCTTTTGGAAAATACTTTACTTATTTAATAGTCTCGACTCTTTGGTAAAAAATCTAAAATTATCAAAAATTCAAAAAAATTCAAAAATCCGATTTTCTTAAAATTCAACATTTTTTCCTCTCTTTTATGGGATTTAGCTTTATTATTTTTGTGCTTTTGGAAAATACTTTACTTATTTAAAAGTCTCGACTCTTTGGTAAAAAATCTAAAATTATCAAAAATTCGAAAAAATTCAAAAATCCGATTTTCTTAAAATTCAACATTTTTTCTTCTCTTTTATGGGATTTAGCTTCATTATTTTTGTGCTTTGGGAAAATACTTTACTTATTAAATTGTCTCGACTCTTTGGTAAAAAATTTAAATTATCAAAAATTCGAAAAAATTCAAAAATTCGATTTTCTTAAAATTCAACATTTTTTCTTCTCTTTTATGGGATTAAGCTTCATTATTTTTGTGCTTTTGGAAAATACTTTACTTATTTAATAGTCTCGACTCTTTGGTAAAAAATCTAAAATTATCAAAAATTCAAAAAAATTCAAAAATCCGATTTTCTTAAAATTCAACATTTTTTCTTCTCTTTTATGGGATTAAGCTTTAATATTTTTGTGCTTTTGGAAAATACTTTACTTATTTAATAGTCTCGACTCTTTGGTAAAAAATTTAAATTATCAAAAATTCGAAAAAATTCAAAAATTCGATTTTCTTAAAATTCAACATTTTTTCTTCTCTTTTATGGGATTTAGCTTCATTATTTTTGTGCTTTGGGAAAATACCTTACTTATTAAATTGTCTCGACTCTTTGGTAAAAAATTTAAATTATCAAAAATTCGAAAAAATTCAAAAATTCGATTTTCTTAAAATTCAACATTTTTTCTTCTCTTTTATGGGATTAAGCTTCATTATTTTTGTGCTTTTGGAAAATACTTTACTTATTTAATAGTCTCGACTCTTTGGTAAAAAAATCTAAAATTATCAAAAATTCGAAAAAATTCAAAAATCCGATTTTCTTAAAATTCAACATTTTTTCTTCTCTTTTATGGGATTAAGCTTTATTATTTTTGTGCTTTTGGAAAATACTTTACTTATTTAATAGTCTCGAGTCTTTGGTAAAAAATCTAAAATTATCAAAAATTCGAAAAATTTCAAAAATCCAAATTTTTTAAAATTCAACATTTTTTCTTCTCTTTTATGGGATTTAGCTTCATTATTTTTGTGCTTTTGGAAAATACTTTACTTATTAAATTGTCTCGACTCTTTGGTAAAAAATCTAAAATTATATTATATTATATTATGCAAATTTTATTAGATTAAAATTTTAAATAATTGAATTCTTGTAGAAAAATTTATTTGTGGAAATAACTGAATTTTTCGATTATTAATTTAAAATAGTAATAAAAATAATTGAAATTCTTTGATGAATTTTATTATTTATGAAAATAATTAAATTCATGCTTAAAATTTAATAAAACATTTTTTTTTTAAATTGAATTTTCATGAAAAGTGTTTATTATTAGTGAAAGTAATTGAATTATTGTGAAGAATTGTATAAAAATTTTGTTAAATAATTGATTTTTTCGAAACTTTTTTGAAAATTAGCGAATTAAAAGTAGTGGAAATTCTCTAAAAAAATATTATTTATATTCTTTGTTCGGAAAGTTGAATATATAATAATTTTTTTACCTTTTTTATTCTTCAGAATAATTAAAATTTTCGTAATGAAGATTATTTTTAATTTTTAGGTATCAAATAATTTTTGCGAAATTCAATTTTCCTCGTAGTACAAGAAAGTTTAATTATTTTCAATTTTGAAAATCTGATGTTAAATTTGAAATTAGTATCAAAATTTGTTAAAATTTTTTGTTTTTTGTTAAAAATTTTTGAAAATCCTAATTAAATTCTTTTGAAGAATTTCTTTGAATTTTTTTTAAAATAATGGAGTTTTTTTAAAATAATTTTAGTGATGTTTTGAATCGAAAAAAGCACGGATCATAATTAAATTGTAATGCGTGACGCGAGACGTAAACGAATGTTTATAGCAATGGTTTCCGGTGGTCAATCAGTACAATACACTTGTCTTGATATCAAAATAATACAATTTCATATACGTTATATTTCTCGAATGCAATTATTCAACGAATTTGAATTTAAAACACACTTATCAAATTATGGAGTTAATTTCCCTATTTGCGATTTTTAAATACTAAAAATAAATTTAATAAATAATAATTAATAATCAAATTCTATTAATAACTTTTATTCTTCAATTCCGCAATACTTAATTCTTTATCAGCAAAAATTGCAAGTTTTCATAAAAAGCGTAAAAGAAATTTCTTGTACTTTTTACAATCTCATCATAATTTTTTGAATTAAAAAAATCTATTTCTAGAATTATTTATATGCCCAGAATTAATAACGTTTGTCTTGAAATAAAAATCTCTGAATATTTTACTGATCGTAAAGTAAAAATTAAATTTGAGCAAAAGGAAGAGAAAAATATTCTTAATCTCAGAATACAAAAACGAGAATGTTTAGACTTTAGAGAGAATCGTGAATTTAAAAATAACGAATTAAAATTCCTCGAAGATGTTTAATAAAATTTGAAAGAAAAAAAAATTAAATTCTATATTGAAAGCAATGAAAATAAATATAAAAAAAATTAATGATATTCAAAAGAAGATATTTTTAACACTTTCCTATGTTTTTTTTCTAATTTATTTCTTATTTGTTTTTATTTATTTATTTATTTTTTTTGGCTTAATCATGGGTCGTTGTACGAACGATGAGTATCTACTGAGGAAAGAGCTGAAGGCTAGTTTCCAAGTCGTATCATTACGCACTATCGCAGGCATTTTGCGAAGCACGCTTGCTCCAATGCTCCCGCGTGTAAAAAAGAGGAAACCGGAACGACCCGTTCTGCAGCCATCTTACACTTTTTCCCCTCTCTTTTATGTTTTCTCCTTGATAACATGTAGTAAAAGTTCATAATTTCACAATAAAATTTTCAATAATAAAATAAATAAAAATAAATAAAATAAAATGATATATAAAATTAAAGATTCGATTTCGTACACAGAGAATACATTCCTTCATCAGTGATATTCAATTTAAAGAAAATTGCATAAATAACAATATTTTCTGTACCCAAAAAAAAATATTTCAAATTATTGTTATTACTATTATTTGTTATTTTTACAAAAAAAAATAGAATCACCCACTTATATAGTAATAGTGATTTCTTTTTCGTTTCATGATTAGCCAATACTTGCAATTTTTCCCACATGAAATAAACCACATATGGATATCAAGATGCTCTGAATAGGTTTTATATATGCGGGCAGGTCATATATAATAGATCAATTCAAAGAACACGTAAATCAGTTTCTGTATATATATCGAGTACGATCGCGTTACGCTATTGAAAAATTTTATCTTTCAGTCAAATTGAACAAGTAAATTCAAAGTTTACCCATTTTCCCAGGAATGACGTCGAATTGCGTTGGTGCATCGCTCACAAAAATCGGTCGATTGCATAATTCCTGAAAAACCAAAAAAAATCTCTTTTAGTAAATTGATTTAAAATTCAGTCAAAATAGAAACTAGTAGAATAAAATTAAAATTAATTATAATAATACAGGGTTGTTACAAAAATTTAATTTTGTTTTTCCCTGACTTTTCCCTGATTTCCAAAAAAAATTTTGTCTTTTTCCCTGACTCTGTAAAGAATATTCTGATTCAATTATTAGATACTCAAAAAAATGTTCTATTACATTCATTTATAATAAATTTTAAGAATATTATTATAAAAAATGAATTAATTAAATTTCTACGAAGAATTTTATTAAAATTATTTTTGAAAAATTGAATTGTTACAAAAAATTTCATTAAAATTTTTGAAAATAATTTAATTTCTTAAAAAATTTAATTAAAAATGTATTGAAAATAATACTTAAATTCTAATAAATAAATTGTAGCAAAAGTTTTTAATTAATTGAATTTCTTTGCTGAATTTTAATAAAAGTTTTAAGAATATAATTACATACATTTTTCGAGGAGATTCAATTAAAATTGAATAAAAAATAATTGAAATTCTGCAATGAGTTTTATTATTTATGAAAATAATTGAATTTCTAAAAAGAATTTTATTATTTACGAAAATAATTTAATCTCTGTAAAAAATTTGATTATTTATGAAAATAATTGAATTATTGCGAAGAAATTTATAAAAAATTTGAAAATCATTAAATTGAGGAAAATTTTGGAAAATAATTGAAATTTTGCCGAGAAATTTATTAAATTTTTTGAAAATAATTGAATTTCGAAGTAGAATTTTATTATTTATAAAGATAATTTAAATTTTGACGAGAATTTTTACGAAGAATGACATTACTTTTGAAAATAATTATTGAATTCTTGAGACGAATTTTATTAAAATTTTTTTTTAAATAATTGAATTTTGACAAATTTTTTAAATTTATTAAATTTTTACGAAGAAATTTTGAAAAAAATTGAATTGCTACAAAGAATTTCATTAAAATTTGTTTTAAATAATTGAAATCTTTTGAAAAATTTTATTAAAATAGTAGATATCATTGAATTGAGGAAAATTTTGGAAAATAATTGAAATTTTGCCAAGAAATTTATTAAATTTTTGGAAATAATTGAATTTCGAAGAAGAATTTTATTAATATTTGAAATATCACAATTTTTCAAAAATCTAAGTTCTTTAAAATTTTTAATTAAATTAATTTAAAATTGAAGGTTTATAAGATTTCAAATTATTCATAGTTTAGGAGGCAAACAAAAATTCAGAATTTTTTTATGAATTCTAAAAACTTAATTTTTCTCACTACTTTTAATAAAAATCCCTGACTTTTCCCTGAATTTCCTGCCGAGTGGCAACCCTGTAATAGAATATATATAATTTGCCAATACTTAATTTCATTTACTTCTACCGAAAGAATTTTCGAGAAATGGAAAATAATTTCGAATTATAATTTGACATAAATATGAAGACAGGTGTATATACGTAGAGAAATTCCTGATTTTTTTTCTCCCAATTAAAAAAATTAGTTAACGATCTACTTTCCTTGATTTCCCCTGTACAAAATATTCCGTGTTTTAAGAATTTGCACGCAATGTTCGAGAAAAAAAATGAGATCATAATATCGTAACATTTTAATGGTCTTTAATTAATTTTACATAGGCGATCTTCCATGCAATCTCATTTAAAGAAGAAAAAAAAAACATAAAATAAAAACAGTTCTAGAATTTTGAATTGCGGAAATACAAATTCTCAGAGCGGTTATTTTATTTTCATAAACATCTTACTTTCCATTTTTAAAAAGTTGTTTGTTATATCAAACTGTCCATTCGAAAACTTACCAACCGTATCATTACCATGTTCACTTTTATTGGCGCAATAAAATTTTTATCATTAAAAACCAGAATATAACGATTTGATGAAAAATAAAAATGAAGGCAGAATCAGACCAATATCAAAGAGAGATAAATATTTTTCTCGGTAAAAAAAATAATAAAAGCGATTAAGTTTGAAATTAAAATTTCAGTAAATTTTTCTCAATTCTAACTTATTGAATTTAGACAACATTTTCTTTTTAACTGATGAAGAGAGAAAAGAAGAGAAACTCTGTCAGAATTATTGAAATAGATGGCAATTGTGATGAAAAAGAACCTTTTGTAAGAATCTTTATGTGAATTTGCTTTCTTGTAGGCGTTGGAATATTGTTTCCGGCCCGGAGGAATATTTCACAAAATCGCAAAATATTGTTTGAAAAAGAAAGATATATGATGACAATAGGCGCACTTATATACACGTATAGCATTAATGTTTTATGTGGCAAAACTGATTATGAAATCTCGAACAATGTGTAATGCTGTAAATTGCGAGAGTTTCAGGGTGACTGCAATCATTGGCATCTCAGTTAATTTGTTACTTGTTAAACTCGTAACATGAGCCTATAAAATGCAATGCGAAGGGAATGCAATGATGCAGTTACCCTGCGTGTGACCTTGCGAAATGCATTCAGTTCATTGCAATTATTATTGTATCGTCCACTCCCGTAATACACGACAACTTGAAAAGAGAAGATCCAGTTATGAACCGCACAATATTATTGTACCTTAACCGATTTGTCATCTTTCACAAAATAAATCAAGTGTATAATAATAAAATGAATTATGAGATTCTTGAACTCATGCACACGCGGTATGTGCAATCTTATTTCCTGTACGTATACTCTTTCGAAATTGTCAGCAGAAAGTATTTATTAAATAATTTTAATTGAAATTTTAATTCTTTAAATATTTTCACATTTTTAGTGTAAGAAAACAATATATAATCTTTTCTATATCTTCTTCTATATTAATAATAATCGTTTTTTCAAGTTAGTTTTTGTTTGTTTTCTTGTTTCCTAACTTTTTTACTTATTTAATTTTATTTATTTATTTATTTAGTATACAGACTAAATTCAATAATATATAATTCAATAATAATAATAATTTAATTTTAAAATTAATGCAGTGCAAATCATTAAATTCCTGCAAAGAATTTTATCAAAAAATTTAAGAATAATTAAATTCCTTCGAAGAATTTTCTTATTTATGAAAATAATTGAATTCTCGCAAAGAATTTTCTTATTTATGAAAATAATTGAATTCTCGCGAAGAATGTTAATAAAATTTTAAAAACTCCTAATTAAATATTAAAAATTTATCCTAATTAATCCTAATTAAATTTTAAAGAATTACTTTGAATTTTTTTTAAATGATGGAAATTGAAAATTTTAAAAGTAATTGAATTTCATGAACAATTTCTCCCAAGTTTTTAAAATAATCCTGTTTTTTAATTATTGAAATTAAACATTTAATTATTGGATTTTGTAAAAATTTTAAGAAAATAATTAATTTCTTCGCAGAATTTTATTACAATTTTCTAAAATAATTTAATTCAATCAAAGAATTAGAATAAAATATAGAAAATAATTAAATTCTTTCGAAGAATTAAATTAAAAATATAATTGAATTGTTTCGAAGGATTTATTAAAATTTTAGAAAATAATTGAATTCTTTTGACAAATTTCATAATAAATTAAAACAATTGAATTCTTTCGTGGAATTTTATTGAAAATAATTGAATTTTTGCAAAAAATTTTACAATATTTATAAAAATAATTGGATTTTTTCAAGGAATATTATTATTTATAAAAATAATTGAATTCTTACAAGAAATTTTATTAAAATTGAATTTTCATGAAGAATTTTATTAAAATTATTGAAAAATTAAATGAACTTAATTGAAAATCATGTTTGTTGATAATTAAAATTTAAAATTTGATTATTGATTTTTATTAGCATTTTTTGAAAATAATTTTTAAAATAATTTTTATAATCAAAATTTAAAAAATTCACTTATTAAGTGCAAAATTAATTGCAATTATTTCCTAAAATTTTAATAAATTTATCGAAACAATTCAACTATTTTTATAAATACTAAAATTCTTTGCAGGAATTAAATAATTTTTAATTCAATTTAAATAAAATGATACGAAAAAATTTAATTATTTTCAAAAATTTCCATAAAATTCAATTTCAACAAGAATTTAAAATTCTCTAAAAATAATTCAATTATTTTCAAAATGTTTTTAAAAAATTCTATGTAAAAATTAAATTACTTTCAATGCAATTTTTAAACATATTCGTAAAAAAATTGAGAGAATTCAATTATTTTGAATATACTTAACTTTAATAAAATTCTTTAAAGAAATTCAATTCTTTTCAAAACAATTTTAATAAAATTCTTCTAAAGAATTAAATTTTCAAATATTAACATGAAATTCATTTATTTTCTAAAATTTCAATAAATTCTTCGGAATAATTCAATTATTTTTATAAATAGTAAAATTCTTCGAAAGAATACAACTATTTTCAATGCAATTTTAATAAAATTAAGTTGCTTTAAAAATTTTCAATTAAAGTTATTAAAGAAACTCCATTAGTTTAAAAAAATTCAAAGAAATTCTTCTTTAGAATTTAATTAAGATTTTTAAAAATTTTAATAAAATTCTTTGCGAAAATTTAGTTATTTTCCTAAATAACAAAATTCTTTGAACTCGAAAAATAAGATTTCCATTTCTAAAGTGTGATAATATAACAAAATAATTAGCGAAAGCAAAACTTTTCAGTAAAAAAATTTTAAAGCAGACTATTAGTTTTCAATTCTCGTCAATAATAATTCGTAAATTGAAATTATTCAATGATCGTTTTACACTTCATATAATTCGTAATTAAAAACAAAAATTCTGTTTAATAGTTAACAACTTCCTTGTTTCCACTGTTTTACTTCCGTCTTTGAATTTTATTGTCATCTATTATTATCGCTCATAATTACTTGTTTATAAAGCGAAAAGTTGCAGAAATAGTATTTAATTGACAAATGAATAAATGATATAATAAAATTACCCTCAAAAAAAAAAACTTGACAATAATAATATTTTACCTTTGGTCTTTTCCACTGAAACTGAAATGGTGGTGTTTGATGATAGAATACTGAAGTCTGGGTAGCTGGAAATTCAGGATCCTCCCATAGTTCACCACGTTTTAAGCACGAACGCTTGATTCGTTCGTACTCGCTCATCACGTCCTAAAAAAAAATATTCTAAATTAGTTTCTCGTTGTTGCATTGAATTCTAAGAGGAAATTAATTCCCAAAATTTGTCTTGAATTGCTAAACATTTTTAAGAAGTATTAGCATTTCTTTGTAAATTAAACAAAAAAGAAGAAAAAATAAGTAAAAATATTTACTAAACGTAAAATTTTGATAAATAATAATATTATTAATATTTTAAAAATATATTATTAATAATTTTATTAATAATATCAATAAATTCTGATATTAGATCTCATATAGGTACAAATTTCTGGATGTAAAAAAAAGGAGGACAAAGACCCCCAATAGTCATATACGGTTATTTTGCAAGGAAAAAAAAATTATTTTCAGCGTCGGCGTTAAATTACGCAACTATGATTAGTATCGTTTGTATTATTAACTCTTTAATACAATGCCCACGCTGGAGAATCATCGTGAGGTCAATTGGCAGGACATCGACACCCTCTTCAAAGGGTGGGCGTCAACGAGGTGTTTTACGATGTCGTAATATATTTTTTTCTCTAAATATTTTTTTTTTACAAAACTCATTCTCCGACCTATTGCGAAAATTTCAATTTTTGTCTTAATTGTTGAAAATTCTATATGTTTAAAGTAGTAGTAAAATAGGCGCGGCCAAACAAGCGTTGTATATATTTATAACCATGACATATTTATTGAACCATTATACTTAAACTAATCCCAGGGATAAAGAAATTAAGATCCCAATTACTTCATTTAAAATTTCTATATACAATTACGTGTATATACAGAACACACGTTTGTTTTGTCAATTACAGCAGACAAGAAAAACAAACAGCATATAATAGAAGACATAAAGAAAGGAAAAAACAAGTAATAAAATTAAAGAAACTATAAAATATTCTAAAGAAGTTAATACTAATTAGACTATATAAATATTATATGTAATGAAAAAGAAAAAAAAAAATTTTTTTCTTGGGTAAAAAAGCAATAAATTGCCTTTCTGTTACAAGTTAAGTTTCGAAATTCGAAGAAAGGATTCAATTCTCTCGAGAAAGATTCAATTTGAAAATATATTGATGATACTGAATTTCTGGAAAAAAACGAAGTGCCAGTAAATTGGATGCAACTAATAGAAATGAAAGAAAGTGGAACGTGAAATGGGACGGAATTGAAAATGTTTTGCGAACACTGTGTACGTGGTACAGCTACCAATTAGGCGACTAATAAGTCAGTGCCTCCTCTCGTTGCTAATTAGAGTTCCAGTCAATTCTGCTATCTTCTTCCTGACAGTGAAGCCTACGTAATAAGAATCTACTTATTGGCATACCACGTCAAGGCGTGCTATAATATACTGTCGCTATGCAGGGTTGCTACGAAAATTTAATTTTCCCTGATTTCCAGACAAAATTTTGTCTTTTTCCCTGACCGCGAAGAATATTCTGATTCACTCCAAAAATTATTAGATACTCAAAAAAATGTTCTATTACATTTATTTACGAATTTCTTTAATTGTAAAATTAATCGAAAACAACAATAACTTCTTTTTTAAATAAATATTTAATCATTATTATTTTTCCCTAGGAATTAAAATTCTTCAAAAGATTCAAATTCAAACCTTTTAATATTCAATAAATTTTAAGAATATTATATTATAAAAAATGAAGATATCGATCGATTTCTTCATATTTTATAATAATTATACATGACCGAGTAATAAAATCATTATTTTAAATTCTAACAAATATTGTTACTGTAACTTCTTCAAAATTATTTTCATCAATGAAATTATTATTCCTTTGGAATTTTTAACTAAAATTCATCATTAAATCAATTATTATCAACACTTTTTGAACAAGTTTTTAAATAATTTTTAAATCAATTTGTTTACAATTCAATTTTATACGAAATTTCGTTTATTCGTAAATTCTTCAATTAAATTTATATTAGAAAATAAAAACATGAAATAATTTTTAAAAAAATTCAGTTAAACTTTTTCAAAAAAATTAATTCTGCACAATTGTTAGTTTAAAGTATAAAAAATTCAGGTTTTCAATGATTTTAATTTTAAACCTTTTCAAAATTAAATTATTTCTAAAAATTTACGCTGTAATGATTTTAATGTTCAATTATTATCTAAAATTTTAATTAAAATCCATTTTTTAATCAATTTTTATTAGAAAATTCTACGAGAATTCATTTATTTATTTATTTATTTTTTTATTTTACAATCAATTAAATACAAAAATAAATAATTTATTGAAAAATTGAATATTTCTCAAAATTGAATTCTCATAAAGAATTTTATCAGTAAATTTTTAAATCATTAAATTCTTTCGACGAATTTTAATAACATTTTTAAGAATAACATTTTTTCGCGGAATTCATTTAAAATTGAATTAAAAATAATTGAAATTCTGCGATGAATTTTATTATTTATGAAAATAATTGTTTTCGTAGAAATTCATTAAGATTTGTTTTAAATAATTGAATTCTTTTGGAAAATTTTATTGAAACAGTAGATATAAAAAATAATTGAATTGAGGAAAATATTTGAAAATAATTGAATTTCGAAGTAGAATTTTATTATTTATAAAGATAATGGAAATTTTTACTAGAATTTTTTTTTAACTTTTAAACATAATTGAATTTTTGGGAAAAATTACATTAGTTTTCAAAATAATTGAATTCTTGAGACGAATTTTATTGTAATTTCTTTTTAAATAATTGAATTCTTTTGTGGAATTTTGTTGAAATAGTAGACATTGAAAATAATTGAATTTTGACAAATTTTTGAAATTAAATAAATTTCTACGAAGAATTTTATTAAGATTATTTTGAAAAAAATTGAATTATTACAAAGAATTGAATTAAAATTTTTGAAAATAATGTAATTCTTTGAAAATTTAATTAAAAATGTACTGAAAATAATATTTAAATTCCAATAAATAAATTGTAGTAAAGGTTTTTAAAATAATTGAATTCTTGTGTGAAATTCCATTGGAATAGTAGGCATTAGAAATAATTGAATTTTGACAAATTTTTGAAATTAATTAAATGTCTACGAAGGATTTTTTTAAAATTATTTGAAAAAAATTGAATTGTTATAAAGAGTTTGTTGAAATTTTTTAAAATAATTTTATTTTTTAAACTAATTTAATTAAAAATGTATTGGAAATAATACTTAAATTCTAATAAATAAATTGTAGCAAAGGTTTTTCAAATAATTGAATTTTTTTCATGAATTTTAATAAAAATTTTAAGAATAATTACATTTTACTAGGAATTTGATTAAAATTGAATTAAAAATAATTGAATTTTTGCGATGAGTTTTATTATTTATGAAAATAAATGAATTTCCAAAAAGAATTTTATTATTTACGAAAATAATTAAATCTCTGTAAAAAATTGTACAGTTTAAGAAAATAATGGAATTATTGCGAAAAAATTTATGTCAAATTTGTAAATAATTTAATTCTTTGTAAATAATTGAATGCTCGTGATATTTTTATTATTTATGAAAATAATTAAATGTTTTCGTAGAATTTTATCAAAATTTGTTTTAAATAATTGCATTCTTTTGGAAAATTTTATGAAAATAGTAGATATTAAAAATCGTTGAATTGAGGAAATTTTTTGAAAATAATTGAAATTTTTACAAGAAATAAATTAAATTTTTTAAAAATAAGTAATGATTTTTCTAATCTATTCTATTCTTCATTTAGTTACTTTTTCTTTAAAACGAGTAACTTATAAAATAAAAAATTCATTCTTTTCCAATTTCCAAATAAAATTCAATTCACAAATGATTGGAAAGGAAACAGATTTTCAAAATTGAAAATAATTAGAAAAGTATAGAAATTTTAGATTATAAAATAATATACTCTATACTACAACGAGAGATATAAAGAGAAAGCGATTATTAAATCACTTTGAAAAAGAAAAATTGAAATCGAAAAATAAAATATTGACTGTCTAATGAAATTATTATACCACTGTTTAGTAATTATTTAACAATTGAGATATCCTTGTTTTCCCTCAGTCAGTCACATGTGTGTATTAAAAGAATATATATATTGTATGTAGAATGAATCAATCAAGTGTCCTCATTCTGCCTCTCAAACTGTCAACGAAGTTTCAACGCGAATAGTTGGATACAATGTTGAACTTTTACCGGCAATTTGCAAAACCTATTTATTTCGAGTGCTAGTTCTAGTTTCCGAGATGACCGCACAGTTAAAACCAATTTGAAATTTGTTTCGGTGAAACGATAACGAAAACGAGCCCGAATGAGGGACGCAAACAAAAATATAATATAGTGGCTTGCACCATTTCCTGCGATAAACGAACTGCTCCTTTTCTTTTCCAATGCATTTCATGGAAATTCATCTTTTTTTTTGTTGCCCTGCTTCTACTCTCCTATGCTGTTTTGTTTTCGCAGAAAAACTTTCCACACATATACACAATGAAAAACAACATTTTCTTTAATTACTAATCGCTCGAACAGAAATAAAATAATTCTCAACTTCCATAATTTTCTGCAAATATTCGAAAAATTCACCATCTGGAAATAAAAAAATTCAGGTCAATTAATTACTTTTTATTTCATTCAATTAATTCATTCGTCAAAATTGAAATTTTACAAAATTGCAAATTAAAACCTTTTAAAGTTTATCTATTTATGAAAATTGTAAAATTCCCTGACTTTTCCAGGTTTTCCAGGTTGCGTGGCAATCCTGCAAGATTAAAGTGATTAATTTCAATTTTGCAATTTGAAATACCAACATTAAATGGGGATTCTTTTTTTAGAAGCTAATCTTTTGCAACTAATAGTTAATCTTCACTTGTACATAGTGTGTACTTGTCGGACTAGTTTTACGCTTGGTTCGTCAACGTCCTTGGGAATTGTACGGACACTTATAATACAAAACCGGTAGCATAAGAGAGAACTATGCCACCTTGTCATTGTCAGTTAAAATGGTAACGAACTGCCGAGAATGAAAATACACAAGAAA